TCTTGTCTTTTGGCTAAGAGCCATTCTGACAGGTGTGAGGTGATATCTCATTGTGGTTTTGATTTGCATTTCCCTGATGTCAGTGATGTCGAGTGCCTTTTCATATACCTGTTGGCCATCTGTATACCTTCTTTGGAAAAATGTCTGTTCGGATCCTCTGCCCGTTTTTTAATCAGATTGTGGTTCTTTTTTTGCTTTGAGGTGTATGAGTGTCTTTATATATTTTGGATGTTAATCCCTTATCAGATATATGATTTGCAAATATTTTCTCCCATTCAGTAGGTTGCATTTTCATTTTGTTGATGTTTCCCTTTGCTGTGTAGAAGCTTTTTAGTTTGATGTAGTCTCACTTGTTTATCTTTGCTTTTTGTTGCCTTTGCTTTTGTTGTCAAATCCAAAAAAATCATCACCAAGACCCGTGTCAAGGAGCTTACTGCCTATGTTTTCTTCTAGGTGTTTTATGGTTTCAGGTCTTATATTCAAGTCTGGAATCCATTTTGAGTTAATTTTTGTGTGAGACAGTGGTCCAGTTTCATGCTTTTGGATGTGGCTGTCCAGTTTTCCCAACACCATTTATTGAAGAGATTGTCCTTTCCGCATTGTATGTTCTTGGCTCCTTTGTCGAAAATTAGCTGTCCACAGATGTGTGGGTTTATTTCTGGGCTGTCTATTCTGTTCCACTGATCTATGTGTATGTTTTTATGCCAATACCCTACTCTTTTGATTACTATAGCTTTGTTATGTAGTTTGAAATTGGAGAACGTGATACCTTCAGCTTTGTTCTTTCTCAAGATTGCCTTGTCTATTTGGGGTCTTTTGTGATTCCATACAAATTTTAGGATTATTTGTTCTATTTCTGTAAAAAATGCCATCAGAATTTTGATAGGGATTGCACTGAACCTATAGATGACTTTGGATATTTTAACAGTATTAATATTTCCAATCCATGTGCGTGGAATATGTTTCCATTTATTTGTGTCTTCTTCACTTTCTTTTATCATTGTCTTACAGTTTTCAGTTTATAGGTCTTTCCTTGGTTAAATTTATTCCTAGGTATTATTCTTTTTGATGCAGTTGTAAATGGGATTGTTTCCTGAATTTCTCTTTTTGATAGTTTGTTATTAGTGTATAGAAATGCAACAGATTTTTGTATATTGATTTTTGTATCCTGCAACTTGACTGAATTCGTTTATTCTAACAATTCTTTGGTAGAGTCTTTAGGGTTTTCTATATATTATATAATATCATGTCACCTGTAAATAGTGACAGTTTTATCACTATTATTTATCAGTATCAGAATACTATTATAGGTTTCATAAAGGTAATTGCCATACTGTTTTGCTGTGTCAGACTTTAAGATTATATCTGCTCAGAAGTAACCTGTGTAAGTTTCATGTTTTAAATTTGGTGTCAAATATGGTACTTTTGGAGTGGCCTGGGTAAGAAAATACAAAGTTGTTTAAGGGATTAAAGAGTAGAACAGAATTGGTTAGTTTTCTCGAATGTTAAGCATTCTAGGATGCTCTGAGAACTCTTACTAAACTTTAAAAAACACAGATGGCTTGTGTAAAAGTACTTCAAGGGTCTTCATTTTGAAGATACCAAAGATAGCTTCTTAGAGTGACATGAAAATCAATTAATTAGTCTGTTTTTAAAATAAAATTAATTATTTCATCCTTTTAAACAGAAATATTGTGAATTTGGCTTGAAGTACCTAATTTTCCAGTTTCTATTCTGTTCAGACAACAGATCAGAGAATAAAACGAGAAAATATAAAGGAAAAGCGAAAGGCTATGTTAGAAGCAAGACTTGCTAAACTCCGACAAAAAAAGATGAAGTCAAAAGAAGCCGGAGCAGAGGAGGAAAACAGAGGTACATCGTGGCTCGTGTTTCTAACCTTCAAAAGGAAAAATTTTAAGTTCCATTGATGTCTTGTCTCACCAACAGAACTGGCAGTATGGAAAGCAGTCATTTAGTTTTATTCTTTAAGCAAGCGGTATACCTTTGAGGTACTGCCAGGAGCAGTTTCTATAACCAAAGTGATGCAGAATGACGCTCCAGAGAGTCTTTTTATGTCGACGAGGATGTTAACAGACAGTACATTGTGTTGCTTCATAGAACAGCACAGTTCAATAACTGAGGCTTAGAGAAAAGGTATTTTAGGATGAAGTTTCGTTGTGCACACACACGGTTTAGACCTAATTTCTTTTGCTACAGCTGTAGTTTTTGTTGGATATTATATATTAAATTATTTTAAAGAAGAAATACATTCACAAAGTCAGATAACAAAATAAAGATTTTACAAATAGGAGTAGAGACAGCCTACCAAAGGACTGTTAAAAATCGTAGTCCTCTGAGCTCACTATATGAGTTATGCTAGTCTGGGCTCGACTGCCATGACAGAGAGACCCCTAGGTAGACCAGCTCAAACAGGACAGACGTCTGTTTCTCTGTTTTAACACTTCAGACGCCAGGGGTGTCCAGGCAGGTGGTAGCTCTGCCCTGGATTGTCACCTGGCCCCCGGCTTCCTCCTGTCTTCCTGTTTCTGCCATTCTGAGTGTTGCTCTCAGCTGCATGGTTGAAGCTTGCCCCAGCACCTGTTCGTGATCCAGCCCCGGGGAAAGGGGATAGAGGGGAGGGGAACCAGCTTCCTTTTTGGGAGTGTGACTGAGTCACACACAGCCTATGTGTTTACATCCCACTGGCCAGGACGCAGTCCATGGGCCACACCCAGCTGCAGGGGAGGCTCGGGAATGGCCTGTCTCACAGGGTGGCCACGTGCCCAACTGAAACTGGGGGCGTTCTAGTCCCAGAAGGAAGAAGGGGAGTGTGGGTGTTAGGGGCATATAGAAACCTCTCCACTCTCCCTGAAGCCGTGTGCTAAGTGTGGGCCGTTTTCTAATTCTGAACTCAACCTCAGTTTAGTCTTGAAAGGAGCCCAGGAACATTTAGGGATTGGAAAATTGTCTGTTTAGTTTTGTGTAAATGCTATCTCCCTGTAACATGCTCTGCATATTGTTTCTGTTTTGCTCTACTCCTGAACATCTGTCATTTCCACAAGATGTGAAGTGCCACTACAGTGTTTTTTAAAAATCCATGTTCTTTTCAAATATGGCTCAAGTTGAATAGCCTACAGCCTGTCACCAGGCTCCAGGCTCTTCATCACGCTAAGTCTCCTTACTTTGTCTGAGACTCTGATTTTAGTTGAGTAATTCGGGATTTCTGGTCCTTCAATTGTTGGTCTGGGGAAGTGGAGTGGCGTAGTGGGAAACACAGAGACTCTGAAATCCATCCAACCTGGGTTTGGATCCTGGCTCTTGTCTCTTTCTAACCTATGTAGTGTTTCTGAGCTTAATTTTCCTCATCTGTAAAATGGGAATACTAATACTGGCTTTATGAGGGTTGTTACAAGATTAAATGAACTACTGTATACACACTACTTAGCCCCCTGCCTGGGATGTGATGAGTGCTCAGTAAATACTGGTTATTACCTTTACTCTCAGGATCAGCATGTTCTATTTAATGTTTGTTTTTTAAATAGCTTTAAGCTTTATTATAATGATGTCTTACTCTCCTGCACAAACTAGATGGAGGTGTTATTGGGCCTTTGTCGCCAGAACCAGAGGCCGTGCCAACTCTGCATACTGCTGCCCAGGGTAGCAAAGTAGAAGTCATTGTTGAGGAGAGGAAGGACACGAGGCCTGGAGTGCCACACATCCGGGAGTGGGACAGAGGAAAAGGTAAGGGGGTGGGCTCCAGGGTGAAACCCTTTCCAGTGCTGGGCCTTGCACAGGAGATTTTTCTGGTTCTTCTGATCGGAGTGTGGTTCCAGTGAATCTTAGTGGTTTTTGAGGCTTAAGAAATTCTCCAGATCCTTGAACTTGTTTCTTCTCGATATCCAGACACTACCTGTAACCAGGAGCACTAGACACTATGATTACGAAAGACCAGGGTCTACAGCACGTCATGTCAGAAGGGCGATTTTTGTGTGTGTGTGTGAGGAAGATTAGCCCTGAGCTAACATCTGTCGCCAATCCCCCTCTTTTTGCTGAGGAAGACTGGTCCTGGGCTAACATCCATGCCCATCTTCCTCTACTTTATATGGGATGCGGCCACAGCATGGCTTGACAAGCAGTGCGTCGGTCCATGCCCAGGATCCGAACGTTCGAACCCCAGGCCGCCGCAGCGGAGCGCACGCATTTAACCGCTACACCACCAGGCCACCCCTGGGCGATTTTTTTTGAAGTACTTGGGGGAAGTTTTTTAAAATTTGTGCTGCCCTTGTGGTTTTACAGCTTTGGAATGCCATTTCTCAGGAATCGCTTTTTAATATCTTAGGAAGGTTTGGTATTTTAATGTCCTCTGTGTTTTTAGCAGTCTCTTTTATGTTCAACTGAAAACAGCCTGCGTGCTAGAATATTAACCTGGATTCACATATGGTTCCACTGGGTTATGCAAAATTTTCTGTAAATTTTTTCTGTAAATACACCACGGTGCCCACAGCAGCCTCTCTTTGGAAGAAGACTGTGGTTTATGCCTCTTTGAAAGGGATGTTTTCAGTAGTACGTTAGCTCATGCTCTTTGAGCTGATGAGATGCAAGACTAAAGTAAAAGCTACGCAAGTAGGTGAGTGCCTTGATTAGTGCTGCTGGTAGAAATAGAGATGAGATACCAAATTAGACTTGGACAGGTGCCTTTTGTGTCTCCCTAAAACTCAGTAAAGGATAAAATTTGTGTTTTAATGTTAAGTACCTATGACATCATATCAAGCAAATGATTTGTTTGATTTTTCTCTATTCCTCTCTCAAATGTACTTTTAGTGCCTTTCTGGCAGTGTTTCCAGAGCCTACAGGCTTTCTCCACAGAACCTCCCTTGAATCCTTCCCCATCTGGAAGTAGTCACTCCCTTTTCTTAGCCTGGTTTCTTATACTTTTGTAGGCATTACATATACCTTGCATTATAGTTTTGTTATTGCTATCCTTGTTCTCCAAAGAATTGGAGGTGGCTTTTAAGAAATATATACAATAATTGAGAAGTAATAACAATAAAAATTCAGCTGACTCAATAATCAGTTCTAATAATACCCTTTCTTATTTTTTCTAGAATTTTCCTTTGGGTACTGGTCGAAGAGGCAGTCAGATCTCCGGGCTGAGAGAGATCCTGAGTTTGCCCCACCATCAGATTACTTTGTGGGTCAAAAGAGAGCTGGTTGCTTCGGTAGCCAGAGGTGGAGCAGACCTGCCCCTGCGCAGAGTGACCCTGGGCAGCGCTCTGGCCAAAGCCATGACCCCGGTTCTTCACACATGTCATCCACTCCTGCCCCCAGCAGCCCGCCGCAAGCCCCCACGGTCACTTTCGAAACTCTGGATGATATGATATCATACTATAAACAAGTGACATGAACTTAAAAAGCATTCTGACTTGAGTTCGTGCTGTTGAGGGTGCCTTCCTCTCCAAGAATGGGCAAAATAACTTAATTTTAGGGACTGAATTGTACTGTTCTGTTCCAGTCCTTTCCCTAGGATGGATTTGTTGGATTTGTTGGATTTGTCAGCAAGGAAGAGAGTGAATGGCGCTGTGGGAACTCGATGGCCCTTGGCCCTTCCTTTCCTTCTAGTTGGTGTGGAGACGTATTCCTCTGGATTTACGTTGAGCTGTGAGAGAGGAGAAATAGTCTGTATTATTTGACACCTGGGAGCTTGTAGCCCTATCTGTTGCGTACGCACCCCCACGGCTCATTCAGATCTAAGGCTCCATGCCTTTTCTTTTGCAAATACTAGCATGCAGATGTCTTTGTTCCCAGGATTCAGCTTCCAGATCCGTTAATGGAGCATCTCTCAGGAGGACTTTTTGCCTGTCACACAGTGGCCAGTGAGGGGACACTGTGTGGGAGGGCAAGTGACCTAGTCTCCAAGAGGACCCCGAAGCTGGTGGACTGTTAGACAATGACAGTTGAAAGATAAGGAAGACCAAGGAGGAGAACTTGGTAATCCAGAACAGTAGAGGTTGAAGTCACTTACTGTGATTGTCATCCCATCCTAAGTGGCAGTTATCACCACCGAGGCATAGTAGGCATTCAGTAGGTGTGTGTCGAACGGCTGGGGCACATGTGGAGGCTGCCGGGCCTGGTCAGACAGCCAGATACTCCTTAGCTATAAGAGTTAGTTTTTCAGTTCAGCCTGCCTCCCTGCTGTTCCCACTCTAGGCCCTCATCACTCTCGGAGCCAGGTCACCTCAGAAGCCTGATTGGAGTAGACGTGGGCTGGAGTGAGGGACAGGTAGGTCCCTTCATCTTTACTAACAGTGGGGGTGAGCAGGGCTCTGGAAGGACTTCCTGTGCCTGAGTACTGTCCGCATCTTCTGCCTGTTACACCTCAGTGTCCTCTTTACAGCTGCAGGCGAGCAGTAGGAGTTGGCCAACCAGGCCCACAGGGCTCCTATGGC